GGTTTCGGTCTCATTAGCCACTCGTCAGTGCAAGATAGTGGCCATCATCGACCTAAAGTCAATGATATTCCTTAATTGAAAATAGAAATTTTTTCAGAGTATTTCATTCCTATTCTTAACCCTGCGTCCGACACGTGGGGTGTGACATACCCCAGTCGTAGAGAATTCCATATAACTTTTCGAAATTGGCGCCTTAGCGTCAGATATATTTAGTAGCTTCCGCATATAGCCTCCACTATCACATCTCAAATTAGTCGTCGTTTGACGTATGTTTCAATGACACCTGTTATAAAGCGACTGGGGTGCACGAAACCCCACGTGTCTCTATACGTTCCAAAATAGTGTGCATTCAAAGAAAACTGAATCAAGTAGTTTTTTTTAATTATTCGATGAAAATAGGTGATTATGATCGAGAAATGGCTCGTCTTCAGTAATTATGGGATGAAATAGGAAGTGATGATGAAAATGACGAATGTGATTGTGATGAAACAAACGATAATGTTAGCATCGTTAGTAACTACCCAGATTTCGAAGATCAGAGGCGAAAGTGTAGAACCTCCATCCAAAAGACTTTAACAAAATGGTCAAGAAAGGTGTCAGGATTGTCATCGTGCCCGTGATCGAAATACAAAATACATTTGTAACAAATGCAATAAATTCATATGTCTGGACCATGCAGAAATGTACTGCAAATCTTGCGTAGAAATGGCAAATTTTGTTGACCTGTAACTTTATGATTTTCAATAATCCTTTTTTTTCTATTTTATTATGTTTTACTATCTGTTTGAACCAGCAATTTGATTTTTATTTGGTCGTTTTATGTGCAAAAGACTTCTTTGAGTAAATCTATATTTTTTTCCATTAAAAGAACCCATTGTTCTGGTAAAGACGGAATATAACGATTTATTGCTCGTTTTGGTAAATCATAAATTATTTTATTGCAAAAAGAGATATTACAGAATTGAATTCTCATAACAACTGTGTTAAAAATCAGAAAAATATTAATTTTAACAGAAAAATCATATTGGGGTCTCACACACCCCACGTGTCTACAAATGTAACAAAAGTCCACATGTCGGAGGCAGGGTTAAGTTGGAGCGAACAACAAAATGTCACTCCATCTAGTGGATTTTCAATTATGGAATATCATTGACTTTAGTTCGATGATGGTCACTATCTTGCACTGACGAGTGGCTAATGTATTGCCAATTGCATATGCAGGAAATTTTCTGTGAAGATTCCTGCACTGACGCCTGTCGGAAATAATCCAACGCCCTTGGTGGTATTATCCAGGGGAGTAGTTGTTTTCTGATAGGCGTCAGTCCATTCAACCTACTGTGTAGGTATATCCGAGACTGGCTTGAACGTTTAATGTTCATTTCTTCAGAAGAACAATGAAAGCGATTTTCAAAATATTTCAGGAATTACTCCAAAATTCAAAATTTTCCAAACGGAATTTTTATGGCCACATGATTCCAACTATGTCCCAATTCAAATATCTTCGTATCGGTATATAAAGAGTAATTTTTCATTTGGTTCATGAACATTGTTGCCAAATGAAATTTTACCCAAGTCGTACAGCCTTCTGAAGTGGGAGAAAAACTATCGCCATTCTCAGTGTTTGAATAATCATGTCCAAATAATTAATTCGATCAAATTCATTAAAAACATTGAGTCCACATTCGGCCAACTTCATTACAAAACATCACGTCCACATATCACTTCTAATTGAATTATCGATTTGACGGCAGCTTTCGAAAGCATTTCAAGTTGAATCATATCACGCCCTAGTGAAGCTCCAAATGTCCTTATCTAGACAAGCACGAACGTTTGTATCTAGAGGTACATTACCTTATCATACCTCGTTCTGAGGATAATTCGTTACGAATTATGAGGAACTTCGTATTGCTTTATACGCTCCAGAATGAGTTCGATCTAGTCTTAATTGAGCATGAGATATCTCAAAGAATCCGCCCAATTGGAAGATGATATTACACTTCCATTACCGTTATTAGATATATAAAAGTCTGAATATCTCGAATGTTGCGTGAGAGAAAGGATCCAGCTTTTCCAATTCAACTGATCTAATCTTTCAGGCAGTTCCTTCATCAAACCGTTTTGTGTTTCGTGACTCAATGTAATGTGCCAAGAACATACAAGAATGACTTTCTCAGGATGAGAAGGAGTTACTCAACATGAAATATTTGCATTCTTTGCTGACGATAAATAGACAGATATTCATTGACTAGGTTATTTACAATAGATGCCTGAAGTTATTAATTGAATAAAACTGACCGATACTTGATGAAAATCCATATTGGAAAAACTAATTAATACAGTTTATTGTATGATTTTCACTATAAAGGGTTTTACAAAAACCGCAACACGTGTTTTGCTATGCAATAGCAATAGCAATTTTATAGCGAAACACGTGACGCGGTTTTTGTAAAACTCTTCATAGTGAAAATCATACAATAAATCAATTAGTTTTTTTTGAAGTTGTTAACATGAAACTTCAAATTATTGAAGTAGGTATTCTTGTTTTCATTAACATGTATGTGAAACGGTTTAGTATATTTATGAAGTGGGTATTGGCTATATTTGTTGGATTCAATCGTAATTCAATCATTCTTCAAGTCGAATTTTGAATTATGAATATTTTTCTATAAATCGTAACTGCTCCCCAGATCATGAAGTCATAATTTATGAACACAGGTAGGAACCGTGATAGGCTCTTTAAAGAGTTCCCAAATGTTTTAATGTTTCGGGTTGACGAAGAACGTATACATAGAAACACTATTATAGGGGATCTCTGTTAACGCAATAGAACACAAAACTTCTGCCTGTGTAGGTTAATCTGAAATACGAATCGACCTATTTGGTTGCAGTTGCACTCAACATTTCATGTTTGATTTATTTTAATCGGTTCATAAATGAAAAGGTTATGTCAATTTGAAGAATCATGACAAAAATCATCTGTTGGAGAAAACTCACTCATTTATAGTTTATGGAAGATTTTCTCCATAAATTGAAGACAGGCAAATGTATTAAACACTCGAAAGCCAATAAATGATAGGCTCCTGCACTGAATTGAATTTAGAAAACATACAACAAGTTTTGATTTCACTTCTAGTGTATTCCAGTGAACTATGATCTTATTCAAATGTCATGATCCAACACTACATCAGCACTGACCTACAAATAACCAAGAAATAACTAAGCAACCGTACCTCATTATTTCAATATCTTTTTCAGACTGCAGACAGACAACTTCAGGAGGCAATGACAATAACCACTTTCCAGTCCAGCAAAAATTCGCATAGAACCAAATCCAGGATGGGAATAAGTACCAGGACCCTAAGAGCTAAAAACTTTTCAACATCTCAAATCAGAATCCCGTTTCAGTAGCGGTCTACAATGAATACTATTGAACAAAACCAACACCAAAATGCCATCCAATCAGAGAAGAATGTTATCGAACAACGAAAGTATGAACCTCTTCAAGCGTGCCATGGACAGAAGCCATCAAGTCACTGAAGTGAACGTGGAATGTGACGGTTCTAGAAGATGGAACAGGATTGCAGTGTTATGAATAGTGATCCTGATCAAATGGCTCCAGCCATAGTACAACAACAGAAGTACGATGCAAACGCAGATTACGTTATCAACGAATATATGGAACGCCTAGGCACCCGCCTAAACATCCTTGAAACCGAACTGAAATACGCATGGCGTGCTCTGGATCTCCTTTCTCAAGAATACGTGAAGATGTGGGAACGCCTAGAGAAACTGGAAGGTCTCTTATACGAGCAACAAAGCGTCATCTCCCAACTCCTAGACTTCTACACTTCCGGTGGAGGTACGGCAGCTCAAGCCGCTGTCGCCTCTCTAGAAGGCAAACTGGGTGAACTAGAGGTCATTAGAGAGATCCTTGGAAATGGAACTGTTGAAGACGGTCTCGAGGAAGGACTGGATGTCACTATATCCCACGATCAGTCGGCGGATATCCACGAGCTCGAACTGGATACCGCTCTGGATGAAATTCACATACCTGACGAAGCTTTCTACAAGAGCTTGAATCAAGCCTACAGAGATGACCTCGTAGGAGACGATGCCTCCTACAGAATCAGCCAGTTGGGTATGATATGGGAGGAGAGAGAAGAGGGAAGCGAGAATGGAGAAAGGAAACCAATGGACACGTCTGGACGACTGGATGACTCTCAGGAAATTTATAGCGCCCTCGACTACAAAGACTACCGAGGTAACTCGCCCTGTATCAGCGAGCAGGATATAGCCCAACTCAGCAAAATCGACTCCATAGACCATTTAGCTATAGAAAAGTTGGATGAACTGGATCGACTGAGCAACAAATTACACCAAGACTCTGTTAACATTAAACAACTTCGTAGAAAACTGTTGGAATCTCCGATTTCTATCAGTGAAATAGAAGAGGAACAGGTGGATGTGAAAAATGTTACAGATCTATCAAATATTGACGAAACATTGCAGAAAATGTATGCCGACGAAAAGTGGACTTTTACTAGCGATATCAAAGACAAGAACGAATTCTTGATGTTAGCCAAATCTGATTTGTCTGGCTTGTTATCCAACGCTTCGTATCCCTCCAAATCTAGCTCTCGTTTCTCACTCACCGATACCGACAAGGAAGTCGCTGAGACTTTATGCAGTGGTAGCAGAAGTCCCACTTCTCCTCGTAGAAGGCAAACAGACATACCAACCTGTAATGCCCCATTCACCACAGTTACTGGAAGGTTAGCTTACAGCGCAGCTGTCCAGCATGTCGAAGAGGTAGAGGCAGCAGTTGCAGCCATGGCAGCCCACAATTCGAAAAATCCTTTTTTCTCAGATAATTTGGAGCTCAATTCACTGATAGCAGCTCCTTACGAAACAGAATTGTGTTCCACGCCCAGTATATTTAATGTAAGATCCGAAAAGACAGGATCTCCTACTCTTTCAATTTGTAGCATGCGTACTAGACAGGATGGCTATGTTGATATAAATACATCTCAGAATATGAAACAAACCCAAAGTCCACCGCCCCCAGCACCTGACATGCTGGGAGCTGCCTTTCCATCAGCAAACAAAGCCTCCAGTGCTAGGAATGTGTTCTTGGATGTCGACAATTCGTCAATTATTCAGAATTGCGACCAACTCAGTCCAAAACCTCATTCTCCGAAATCCAACAAAACATCACCGAGAAGGAGTAAGAGTCACTCTCTGACAGCTGCAAAATCAGATTCAGGTTTATCATCTATGAGTGGGTGGTCCAGTCTAGAAAAGTCCCCAGGATCTCCTAAAACATCCAAAATCAATCCATACGGGGAAACCAGAATTGCTAATAGTAGGCTAGTTTCACCAATACCGATGCAATACAGTTCTAACAATCCCCGACCATTCACAGAATCTTCCGTTGATTCTAAATTATCAGATTCTCAAGGGTTACCAAGCAATCTGCTGCCAGGCGGGCATCATCTGTCAGCATTCACAACTGTCAAGTCACCCTGTGGTATCGATTCGTTAGAGGGGTATGGAAACTTCGTTCCAGCTCCTGCTCCAGCGTCAGACATCAACGTTAGCCCCAACACGAAAAAATCTGACAAAACCAATGTAACCACAAGCGATGAGGAATTTTCAGGGACATGTTTGTATAATTTTGATCAACCAGCAATATACTCGGTGGCCGGTAGCAACAGAGACTCTTACACTTCAGTATATACTGGCAGCCACGCCGAATATATCTCCCAAACAAATAACTATCCAGATTTGATCGAGCCTTACGAAAACAACGAATTTTTCAACGCCCATCAGAAGAATTACTATAGTTCTCCAGCATATATGCCTTTCTCAACACCTAATACAGATGGAGTACAAGGTCGATACAAACCGAATACAAACAGAGAGACTGAAGATATAACTAACCATGAGGGGTATCGGACAGCAATGTACCGCACAATGTTTCCTTCTGGCAACATTACGGACGCACTGAGTTATTACCCCACCTCATCTAGAAACGACACTTCAGAAACCAGCTACGATGAACAACGAATGTGGCTAGAATACACAGCTGATAATAGGTTACCTGATAGGCAAGTGCAACTAGAAGAATTACAAGATCAACATTTTTCCCATTCCCCTCGACCAGACAGGAGTCGCAACAACCATTCACAACCAATTTATGAGAATCAACAGCATTCGGAACAACCAAACAGACAGTGGAATCAACGACAGGAAATACCCTACTTAGACTTGGACTTGCGGAATAAAAACTTACCTGAATACGTCGTCCAACAACAACACGGTCAAAACCTATATTACGATACCGGTGGTATCATCATGACTCAGTCAGGTTACATCACAATCTCTTCGAATACTGACCAACGAACCCAACAGTTCACTGAAGCACCTAAAAAAATTAAGCGAGCCAACACTTTAAAATCAGCCATGAGTTCCGTGACTCACTGGTTACCAACTCTACATTTACCCAAAAGAAACCGATCCCATTCATTACCAGGGATTAAAAGTATAAAACCCAGCACTGGCCGAAAGAAAAAGAAAAACAGCATCGTTTCCACAGTCTCTGACATTATTCAGAAAGCCAAGAGAAAAGGTAGTTTAGCACCACAGTATTCCTCCTCGTTATCGGACCCAGAACAGTCTGAAAACGAATGGTCTATTGACAGAAGCAAATCCGTGAAGTCTGAAGACGAAAGAAGCGAAGATAGCTCTAGTATTTTTTCGGAAAACAACGAGACCGATAGTGATTTCCCGACGATAGAACATATTAAGATGAAAAGACCTTGTTCTTCTGAACAAAAACCAAACGAAAAGTATGCGCTACAACCTGTTTTCGAAAGTGAGTCGAATCATAGCGACGAAGGTGAAGTAGAGAATCACATCGAAGGGGAAAGAGAAGACAGCGATAGAAATGGTTGTAATAAAACTTTCCAGACTATTGGAGCCCCAAAACAAAATTCAATTCTCTCAGACAATGTCGATGATATAGCAACCATCGAGAGTAAAATGATGGTGGTAGTTGGTGCAGGGGCTTCCATGGAGTTTGCTGTTTCTAGAGCTCTCGGAAGATTCAGACAAAGACAATCAAACTCTTTCTCTGACGATCAGTTCAATGAAGAAGATGAGATCATTATAGAGGAGATCACTGAAGAAAAAGAGGAACCGTCCCAGTCAGTGCCACAAATTTGTAACAAAGTCTTACCAGAGCAAAAGTCTAGCGACAGTCAAAACAGTTCCGACAATAACAGACCATCCGCTACAGACTTGGCTGAAGAACCGGCCGTATCAGAAGACAGTCCATCGACAATAAGCATCAAGTCACACACCAACCGTTATTTACCTAAACAACAGCAAAGTTTAGAAATTCCCGGAGGTCGCGATGATGATGACTGTAGAAGCACTCATTCGTGGAGAAGCAATTCAAGAATTTCATCAAGAAGACAAAGCACAGAAGACAGTATAGATAGTGAAGACGAGTGGTACTGCTACGAGCTGCGGAAGTTGGAGGAAATGGAAAGGCAAACTCAATTGGAACAGGAAATGGGTACAACATTGCTAGAAGAACCAGAACCTTTGGAGGAAGAACAGTTCGAGCCCAACGAGGAGGTGAGGGAGATGATGACGTTCGTTTTGAGAGAGTTGAGTATGAAAGCCAAAGTTGTGGAAGGAGTATTAGACGAGAAAGATAATAACCTGTTGGTAGTACAATCTCGAAAGAGTCGAGAGACCAAAAGGTCTTCCTTTCAATTAGATAACGCAGCCGCTTTGTTCGAAAAGATTAAACACTATCATCATGAAGAAAGCCAGGATGAAGGTGAAAATAAAACTCAAGACAAACTGGAACTGCTCAGTCCGCATGACCGGGAGGATCTTTCTTCGGGTGCTACATCTGGACCTGATAGTCCACACAGTACGGACGAATACGATGAAGCGGAAATGGCTTTGAATGACGAATTTGCTCTTTCTCATATAAATAAAGAAGCAGAAGAGGAGAGGAGTAAGGTTGCCGAGACCAGGATTTCTAAAAGTGATGAAGTTTTGATACCAAAAATACAACTTGAATCGACCACACCAGCAGAAGAAGGAAAAGAAGATAAGGAAGGAGCTCAGTTAGGTAGTAGGTGGAAACTGTTAAAAACATTGAAGGAAAGGAAGGCTGAAGAAAAAAGTAATCAGGCAAAGACGCCAGCGCAGCCTCCTGTAGAGAAGAGTAAAGTGAGTATTGAGCCGAGTGTCACAATGTTAGAAACTTGTTAGAAATTTGAACTGTATGGTAATTATATGTTAATTTGCGTTACATATTGATTGTTTATAAACGTATGAGCTCAGTGTTTTCAATTGAATTTTCAACTAATTTACACTACTATATAATTGATCTTTCAAACAAAATGTCCCAGCAGAATGTCTTCTGAAAAAAAATATTTCACAAGATCGTTCATTATTTACTTTGGAAAATTCTTTCTGGCAGTGATTTCGATGTTATTGAATGAATTACTAATGAACTACTACGATGAATTAAAGAGGAGTCAATAACTGTATATTATTTCGTACTAGACTGGAGAAATGTTAATTTTTTATTCTTTAAAAGTGAGCCCAATTCAATAATAGAATGGAATTTTATTCAATTAGTTACGTCTTGTTTCAACAGGCATGCCTATAGTTCCAATTAAGATAATAAAGTGAAATTCTTGATACTTCATTTGGATACTGTTCTATTGATTTTTCTTCATCTCTGCCTTCAATTTTCCAGACACAAATTCATTTCTATTCAACATCGATATTTGATGCGCCACAAGAAAGACAGTATTGCTGTGATAAAATGAAATGATTATTAAGTCGCAGTACGGAATCATTTGTTTTTTGTTGCTGGCATACGTCATTAGTTCTTTCAAAATATATGGAAAAGCTGATGTGAGTTTGTGAAAGTGAGTGACACTACAAGTGAATGTTGAATGTTTTTTAGAAAAATGTCATATCTACTGTTAGAGAAAACAAACATATCAAATACTCAAAACAAGAAGTCTGTTCACTTTTTTAGTGAGGTTTATTATTATACAAAATTAGACAAACTATGTGTCGATAACTTGAAATTATTAACTATAGACCAATCAACGTCATATCAAACATTACCAAATTATAGAAAGAACTTTTAAAAAAACGCATATCAAACTTTCTAACAAAATTCAACGTATTGTCTGGAAGGTAGTTCGTATTCGGGGAACAAAGATAGACGGAAGATGCAATTATACATTGCTCTAGATAAAAAAATGCATCACTCTGCATTTTCATCGATCTATCTACAGCCTTCGATACTGTCCGTATTGATAAGTTATATTGGACATACCTACTTGAAGCTCACGGGATAAGGGATAATACTTGTACTAATATACAAACGTTCTGATGGATAGTCTGGACCAAATTCGTTTTTTTCAAATGGTTTGTTCGATATTTTTTTTAATTCTTCACTATGCCTTTTTAAACCCTCATTATCGAACCGTATGCCACGTAGGGAGCTAAAACTGCCTTCTTTATTTCTGCAAAGGGTAAGAAATGCGTTCCATGAAATCAGGTATTGCGATCGAGACACTTGACTACATCATACTTAAGGCGGTCAAGTAGGACGAAGTGATTATTTTTTCGAAAAAGGCATCTTGAACAAAATCATAGATTATATTGTTTATGATTATTTGATAATTCTGAAAACGAAAAATCCCACTGATGATGAGCTTCTTAAAATACCTAACTCATGCTGCTTGTTCCGAACAATAAATTATGTATCTGGTGCAATAGTGAGATGCAGTGAGATAACTCAACCATTGAAATATTTTACTGCAGGTAAACTCAACTATGAATTTTTTTTTCAGAAAGAATCTGGTATAGTAGGTGATCCATCCGCCCGAGCTAATGGGTAAGTCAAGTATACATTTATTATTCATAACTCACAATTCACTGGTTCAAAAAACACTGATTAACAACTTAAGAAATGTTTGTGACCAAATTCGGTAAATATTTCTCCGTATGATATCTGTACGTTACTGATTTGTATAATTTTGATCACTTCCTCGTTTTAGATTTTCAGAACCTCAAAATGCGTATTAGAGAAAGTTGATAAAAAAATTGAACAAAATTCAACCGACTGGTGGTAATTATTTCTTCATAGCTATATAATATACATTACAGTGGAATTTGATGAGACCAGCAGAATTCGTCCCTGACAGTAAATATTTTTAGTTAAATTAGTATTCGAAGAACTATTTTCGGGTATATCTTGAAACACTATATGTGATTGAAATCCATTTCTGTCTCTGGAAACTCCATTACAATCGATGACATCTATAGAAACATTAAAATTGAAACAATTGCTTTGTCAAAATATTGGAAATGCATTCGTGATATGAAAATAATGATTGAAACATACACGTTTCAGCAAGCTTCATGAATTGAATATAAGAAATCGACTGCTTTCATTTTAACTATGAATAAGTTGCTATCTTCAAGTCAGCATGGTTTCACAAAGAGCAGAAGTACTGAAACTGCTTTATATAATTTTCAAGAAAATGTAATAATAGCCTTGGATGGAAAAGTCCAAATTTGTGGGCTATTTATTGACTTTTCTCGGGCCTTTGATTGTGTTAATCATGACCTCTTATTAATTAAGCTTGAGCGATATGGTAAAAGGGGTGTAGCATTGAATTTAATAAAATCATACTTAACTGATCGGTCCCAGAGTGTATCATCAATACAACTCAGAGCCAATCTCTCATTGTTGAGCAGGGAGTTCCCCAAGGCTCAATTCGTGGACCTTTGTTATTTTCAATATATGCTGATGATCTCATCAATTTCCTCCTTGACATCTGTGAAGTCCAAGTAATATCATATGCTGATACAAATCTACTCATAACTGATGAAGATACTACTGAACTTGTGAAAACATCAGAAATGGTATACAATAAAGTAATGGTCCGAATTAAATCGTCTAACGATAAATGTATCTAAAACCTCCTTGATGGAATTTACTTTGAGGGGAACTATGGCACACTTTCAAATTTTTAAGGACAATGACATGAATATACAGGGTGTCCCTGGACTTCCTCTTTTCCTCTCGGGAATGTATAGATGGGGTCAAAATATCACCAGTACTTCATATAACTTTTTTTCCTAAAATCCTTCGTTACTAAGTAACGGGCCCTCGAAGTTACAAAATGAAAAATGTTTTTCTTTGAACCAGATAAATTCTCTCGAGAAAAATATCTGGTCGAGGCGGGAATCGAACCCACGGTCTTCCGATCGTGAGTCGGACGCACTACCATCGCGGCCAAATCCACAACTCTTCAGAGTAATTTTATAACGCGGTGACTTTTTGGGGTATCCTTTATCACACTTGAGCAGGATCCCCGTTGATCGATATCTATTAATTTTTTGTGGTTGGGAGAGAATAGATACCCAGAAAACATCAAAAAATGTCATTTCGGAATTATCAAATGTTGAATTCTTTATCAACATTAGAAATATCGAATTACATCGAATTACAATATAATTTTTTGAAATAACTGAGAGTATCCCTTGTATGTCCTAACAAACATATGACAGCTGACATCTCATCCACCTTATTAGTTATAACAGAAACATTTGGGATCGCTACATCTTCGTCACATCTTTTCTTGACATTACTTTGACATTAATTATGATGGCCTATGAATTGCTTACCTCCTGTGGTCCAACTGTAAATTTTTCAATTTCTTGTTCTGCAGGGAATTATTCGTAGCTGATCCCCTTGACCCGTTTTCCGATCTGATGCCAGCCAGAGTTGGTACGGTAACCCCAAAACTTGTTCATGACCTAGCATGTGTAGAGTTGAAAGTCTGTGTCTTTCTCACTCATCAGGTTTCTGTTTCATCTCATTCCAGAATATCAATATATCAATTCCCAGATCAGTAATGCACATTGATTTTCAAATTCCGTCCCATGTTCAATTTTCAACCCGCCTATATACCAAGGAGGTTTCAGCCAGACATGTTTTTGGAATAATTCGTCATCTACTTACTCTTCATGGTTTGGGACTTCAACCGAGAAATTTGAGTGGAAAATTTACTTCGGTAACATATGAAGCGTTGCTTGGTTTTCTTTTCTCCAAATACTCCAAAATTTCTATATGCCTTATCGCTGATCAGTTTGTCAATAGCGATGGTTTGTTTGATATTTATCTTTCAATGTGTTATCATAGATTCCACCACCATGGTTTATGATCAATGCCCACATGTCTTTCCGTTCTTGATCCTACATCTTGTTCAAATGTTCAGAACCTTAGTCAGGTTGACTTAGTCATGTGACAAATATTCATTATGGTCCAGAAGACCATACGAAGACCATCTATTACGAAGTTCCCTGAAAGTATTTCCATGGATTTTCGTTTATTCAAGTGTCTAGAAGGTATGTGAATTTTTTTTTGTAATAATGACATTTAATGGGTTAAAATAATTTTTATTGAGCCCACCGCCCACTTTATGCGCTATTTTCGCCTCTAAATTAAAATAATAAATATTGGTAATAGATTTCCGGGAGGTGTGATTTCTTTTCAGGAAATTTCCTTCTCTTTAAGGATCTTTTTTCAAATTTCGGATATCTTTAATATTTTTCGAGATATTTGCAAAAAACCAAACCCCACTTATTTTACTGAATTCTCTTTAAGGATCTTTTTTCAAATTTCGGATATCTTCAATATTTTCCGAGATATTTGCAAAAAACCAAACCCCACTTATTTTACTGAATTGTTTATAACGTTTGCAGTGTTTTCGAGCCCCTCTTGAAATTTTTACAAAAAGTTGCTTGAGGTCATTCCGAATCGAATGAGCCCCGAATCATAATTGTCGGTACCCTTGGACAGAAGTTACATAAAAAAGATATTGTGACCCAGACTATACAATCGGTAAAACTGAAACAGTTGCCTTCATGATTCAATGGAAATTAATTTTTCATATGGAAATGCTCATTATGAAATGAATATGATATATCGGCGGTCAAAAAGCAAACAACAGGAGGTAGTTATAATTGAACAAGTTTGCGAACAATGTGAATTGGTGGAAAATTCATTGAAGATATGCAAGCAGTATTAAAACAAAATTGTTATTTCAGGACATATAAAGTTTACCCATTTTCATGGATTCTACCACTAATGCTTGAATATTATTCACAAATCATTGTGATTTAATGGTTCGTTTTCATTTTATGCGATAAGGGTTATAAAATATGTGTACTAGCAATTCCGCACGAGATGTGTTTTGAATGGGTTCAAAGTAAGTTTTTCCGTTATCTACCTATTCATGTATATACAGTCGAAACAATTGGCGAACTAAGAATTAAGGAAGTCTCACCTGTTCGATGTCACACCCTGTAACAAATGAAATACATATTCAACTGATGTTTTTTAGAAACTTAAACAACTGTTCTTTGCAGACATCCAGGCGACAACCCGTTCTACAGCAACATCGACAGCATGCCCGATATCAGACCCATCCGAAGGAAGTCAATACCGCTTGTATCAGACCTGGTGAGTTATTTCGTTCGTTTCCACAGTACCATTGATGAAGGGGAAATCTAAATAGGTTTCCAAAATGTGAAGCGGTCGTTCAGAAAACTAACTTGGTTATTTTATTTTCGAAGAGATATCAAGAATATTATGATGTTTGCAACTAATGTTATCGTCAGTTTCATTCGACATGTATTCTGATAATCAATATCGAAAAAACTGCGTTAAAATACAGAAGGTTCAATTCGATAACATAGAACTATGTATATGAATATTACTGGAGTTACCCATGTTCAATTTTCAACCCGTCTATATACCAAGGAGGTTTCAGACAGACATGTTTTTGGAATAATTCGTCATCTACTCTTCATGGTTTGGGACTTCAACCAAGAAATTTGAGTGGAAAATTAACTTCGGTAACATATGAGGCGTTGTTTGGTTTTCTTTTCTCCAAATACTCCAAAATTTCTATATGCCTTATCGCTGGAAGCTTGAAAAATGTTTCAGGATGAATTGGTCATCCCACTTTTACCTCTCCCGTACACAGTCTCGTCATCCTGATCAGTTTGTCAATAGCGGTGGTTTGTTCGATATTTATCTTTCAATGTGTTATCATAGGTTCCACCACCACGATTTATGATCAATGCCTACATGTCTTTCCGTTTTTGATCCTACATCTTGTTCAAATGTTAAGAACCTTAGTCAGGTTGACTTAGTCATGTGACAAATATTCATTATGGTCCAGAAGACCATACGAAGACCATCTATTACGAAGTTCCCTGAAAGTTGGAATACAAGACTAACGCTGCGGATTCCCCATTCTATCCATGCCTGTATTGTTTTCTTCATAATAGTCATGTATACCAATCCTCCTCTAAGAATGGAGTCTATCTTTCTGTAGCCTGCAATATTTCGCCCCCTGGACCCTTTGATTATCATTTCTGAGGACATATCATCGAATGTGCCCTCCATATTCAAAAAAGTTACTAGTACTATCTTGTTCTGTAGATATATTGTGTATTTTTCTTGACCTGATATGCCTGCCCTGTATGTATGTTGGTGTCGATGCAGTAGTCTTTTTCCCATGTCAAAATACTCCGGGATATCATGGTTGTTATTCTATAATTCCGTTTCTTGTGTGTCTGCGTAATCTTTCTGGTTCTGGTTTCTATATTGTGAATTTTATTTCGTAATATCTGTATCGGTAGAGTAGGGATGGTGAGGTCCATAGTACTTAGGCCACATGTGGCCCATTGTGCATCCTCCCGAAGAGTTGTCCTCCTAGGTCATTGTCCATCCTGTCCTTTCCAGAAAGGTGGACAGGTCACTAGGAGACATCTCCTTTATATCGGCAGGTGTAGGCCAAGACTCGCCGAATACACACTCTCTCATTGACGATTACTCCGGACACTCGCATTAGACATGCCTGAGTTTCATCTTTCTGTTCACACATCCTGCATAGAGGTGCGTCCACTAGCCCCGTAATATGGAAGTGTTTTCTTAGTTGACAGTGGCCAGTCAAAAATCCTACTGTTAAGCGTAGGTTTTTCCTGGTCATCGCCAGATATTTCTTCGGTGCCAGCTTCCCAAGGTCGCCCAGGATGATCCTGGAAAAACTGCATTATTTGATTCCATCCCATATTTTTTGACATTTCGTAATATTTGAAAGTCATATTTGATTTATTAAATCATATCAAATCTGACCCACTGTGGATGCCATCACATGCTAACAAGGGTTGAACGTATATATATTGAGGATCCAAATCAACAATGACCTCAATATGGAGAAAATTATTCTGGCAACTACGTTCATCAAATCTGTTGAGTTATACAATAACTCAACTAACCTACAGTATCGCTTAGAGTTCATCACTGCCTAGCTCACAGGCAGAGGCTAATGAAGTCTCGAAGAAGTCTGCACTGAGGTGATTTCAGTTATTCCAAATAAGTGTCACAGTTCTTCAACAAAAAAAATCTAGCTGGTAGAGGATTAAAAATTGATTCGAAACATTTTTAGAGACCAAATTTTCCTATTTCAATTATTAGTTATTCCGTGAGAGAATGGAGAGTAACATGAAGTGCGTGTTCATGAAAACTATAATACCTGTCGATCCCGTCTTCGGAATTACAAACTGAATTTCGAATGAACGATCGTCTGAATAATGTAAAACAAATTGCGTGTTCTGATACTGATTGACGATACATTATCGATATTGGGATATTTTGTTGGAAGTACGAATAAATATGAAAGAATATAATATCGAATGAAACTGAAAATATCATAGAAATATTCTACGTTCTACCAGTTCCTCAAACGAGACAGAAATAGTCCTCAGAACGGCTGCTTCACCACATGCTGGTCTAATCATATCGAAGACTAATTAATAATCATCTCTAAATGTGTTCCTTCGATTCAGAACCGATTAATTGTACATTCTCCAGAATTGCCGTCGTGTAATAACTAGTTCGCCGGTAATTAGTTCAAACAAGTATTATGGGATTCCACTTGATAGATGAGGACAATATAATTACAGCGTCTTCTCTGCCGCAAAATGAGCGTTGATCAATTGATCGTGGCGGCGCAGTTATAAATAGAATACTTTCGAACAAATGAAAGTGCGCCAATGTAAAGGGCTTGCGGCATTTCGGAGTTGAAATATTGGTGTCAGAAGTGGGAGCGGACGCATTTTACACGTAAACGTGTGATAAGGAATAAGGGGCTATTATTGACTATTTATTGCTTTCAATATAGTACAAATTCAAAAATTCCACACCAATTGATTTTTAGACAGGATATGTTATTGAGGTCGGACAAGTATGCGTCATTTTTGTACGTTCAAATAAGAAAAACGATAGTTGTCGCTGAGACGAAAGGGATCTCATGTCGCTGAATGGAAATATAATCTTGTGATACCTTTTTTTATAAATCTTTCAATATTCTATCCAGAACTGATTCATATTTTGGAATCGGACTAACCGTCCCTGAGTTATCAGCGGTTATTTTATTCATTTGTTACTTTCAAACGAACAATTATAATGTAAATTCCTCAAAAAAATTTATCCAAAACTCTCTACAAAAAACTGGAAATGTTCATCATTCCCCCCCTGGCAATTACGAGGCCTATTTTCAGAAAATAAGAAAAATAAGGTGTATAACCTTATGTTACACGTACTTTTAGAGTGTACTGCATTTGTGTAATATACACTTTTGATTTTACATATCCCCACAAAAAATCTGAGCCTATTTATACTATATAGATATACCATATAGGTAAATCATACAGGTGTACCACCCATACAGGTATACCACCCTAAATTAATTTTACAATTTTGCCTTATCTATCATTTTACAATATCTGTTCAAATGTTATAGCTGTATATAAAACAATTTTTAGCTATATAAAAAAAAACATTATTTTAACAATATTGCCTATCTAAATTTATTTTTGCATGTGTCCTTATGTAGTAATCAGTAAATCCAACACTATTATTTTAACAAGCTATATAGTCCGGTATTGGTCCGTTATCGTTATTCATAATATTATTATGTTTACTCATTTCTACACTCTCATAGGCATCTAGTTGCCTGTTGTTGTTAATTTGTCTAACTGATCTGAATGAACGGAATGGTTTTGTTGCAAAATATGATGGGCGACTGCTGATTTTTCAGGTCTTCCATATTTTAAGTGTGCTATGTGTTCCTTATATCTTACATTGATAGATCTTTTTGTCTGTCCATAATATTTTGCATCACAGTCCTTACATTCAATTTCGTAAATTCCATACTTTTTCGAATTCTCGACTTTGTCTTTTGGACTTTCCAAAAGGCTCTGTAGTGTATGACTTGTTTTAAAAACCACCTTCATACCTGGTTCCTTGAAAATCTTTCCAAAGTTCTTCGTATATTGATGGTATGGAACTGAGATGTATTTATCTTGGTTTTTGTCCTTTCTGAAAGTCGAGATTTCGTTCATTCTCAACCTAAACTTCTTCTTCCTCATTATATCATCTACAATACTCCTCTAGAAACCGTTAGTGGCTGCAATATCCTGTACTGTATGTCTTTCTTTTGTGAACGTTTCATGTGTTAGAGGGATAGTCAAAAGACGATGCACTGATAAATTCAGCCCAGCACTTTTGTGTTGTCCACAGTGATGTGAACTGTCATGGCCGTTCCTTCCTGTTGTTCATAAAAGCAACCTTCTACCTGGAACAGATTTTGTTTCATACACAAATTAGTAAGACAAACGAATTCATCGATTTCGTTAATATTGAAATTATTTTTCTCTAGTAATTCATAAGATCATACAGGTGTATCACCCTTACGGGTGATACACCTGTATGGTTTACCTGTATGGTGTATCTATATAGTATAAATAGCGTTAGCTTCGCGTTAGTTCCTAGTTTAATCTCCTCTTGAAGATGATCGCTTGGTGATCGAAACACGTGTTGAGGTGTTGAATATAACGATTTGGTGTTGAGAAAAAACTCCAGTAATTTTCATTACTACACCAAAGATTTCAAACAGTGCATCATAAGATCTTAATGAGGATCTAGAAGTAATTTCAAATTGGGGTTCAATTCAATGTCACAAAAACTCAGGCATCGGTTTTCTCCGAAAACAGTAATGTTCCCGAATGTTAGGTCAGACAATTCCGCTTTCCGTTTCGATAAGTTTGTTGGGGGTGTAACTGGACACCAATATGTCTTTGCACAATCGTCGCTGGAATTGCAAAGACTGCTTCTCAAAAGCTTGAAACATTGTTCTGAATCAGAAAACTATACACAACTGAGCAACTAGTGATGCTTTGTAAATCTCAGGTCAGAGCTTCTTTGGAGTATTGTTCTCATGTATGGAGCTCCGCCTCCTAACATACCCTGAAGCTGCTGGATTCCATTCAGAAAAGAGCCATCCGCCTGATTGGAGACGCGAACATCACTTGCAACCTTGGTAGTCTCTAGAACATCGAAGAAAGGTAGGAGATTTGCCTCTCTTCTATAGATACTTTCACAGGAAGGGT